ATCCGTTGGTCCTGATGCACTTCGGGAGCTTTACGGCAGCACATCGTAGCATATATCATCACACACCAAGCTCAACGGTAGTACACCGGAAGACATCCGTACCATGAAACGAAGCCGGACAACGAAGCCGGCAACGGTTCAAGCCCTGGTAGAAGCACGCTTAGTGTTAAGGTATAAACAACACCGGTAACCACTGTTAAAGCCCTTTCACACTGCGGTCGGAATGGGTACGTGTCGATAATTTCTGTGAATCTCTCTTCTTCCGGTACTTTCAGTACTTTACACACTATCGGGCAGCTTCTTGTTTCCTTCGTATTGCCTTCGTGAAGCGGAAAATGCCCGATGGCACCGATGATCACACGAAGTAAAGACGAAGATGAGACGATTTTACAAGATGCCCTCACGATGGCCTTACGAAGGGCAAAATGGACACATGAATTCAACACAAAAATGAACCTTCGCAAGGTCTTTCAGCTATTTTTTGGCATGCCAAAGATTTTGCCACCGCTCACGAAGTTGCTGCCGGAGCCTGAGAAACTCCACCGGCGGTCATACGATGGCTTAAGATGCCCTCACGAATGGCCCGATGTTGTTACGATCAGAGCCGAATTTGAACATTTCCTTTATCGTGTGTCCATCTGGTGTCAATTTCGGGACAAACTCTGTGGTAAGGCCACAGCTGTTCCTCACAGCACAAAGCTGTATTTTACAAATGCCACATTTTCATGTGCGAAGACAGACCTAATTAGTCTGAGGTGATGAAGTTACATTTGTAGTTTCTGTTAAACATTGAATATCTCAAATGATCTAATTTAGTTGATCAATGCTGACTTTATCAGCAGAAAATGAATCAGCAACTAAGTAAGTCAAGCAGAAATTACTCGTGGTTCATAGTCAAATGAATGACGATGAGTAATGATAGACTAAACGGATTATCTTTGCATTTTGGACATTTGCCAGATAAAGCACACAGTCGTGTCAAGAGGTGTTAATATATGGATATTATCCTGCTGGAAAAATATATATATATCATACACGTTTGTTGATTTAATATTTCTGCAATATTCTAAAACCAAAGGACACATTTAATTGCTTTTTGTGGAGGGAGCCTTTGTGGTGCTAATTTCCTGGTCAGCCTACACAAATATGTCATCACTACTAAACTCTTAGCATGATAAAAACAATCATTCAGCCCTGTCCGGAGTAATGAGCTCTCCTCCAATGTGCCGCTCTGCTAGCTGTCACAGCTTTACTCTCTCTGAATAAAGTCTTTGTATTGCACATGTCTGTCAGTGTAAGAAGCAGATTACAAACTAAACTAAAAGAAAGGAAACATGTGAGGGAAGTGACTGACCAGTGAAGGTGAAGATAAAGACACAGATGGAGATGACCCATGACACCCGGCTGTTGCTCTCTCCAAACTCTTCCATCAGATCCTGGAGGAAGACACCCAGGCTCTTCAGGGCCCCATAGGTGCAGACCTCCACAAGGAAGAAGGCCAGGGCCACAGCCCAGCCCCAGCCGCCATCAGGTACCTCTGGGTAAACATTTGCAGCCAAACAGCGCTGGAAATAGGGCCCCCTCATGGCAACAGCACGCCACCTGGAGGAAGAAACACAGAGGACATCAGTGACCTCATTTTAGACCTCATTCCTGCACCTCTCTTTAGGCCTTCTTTATTTTCTTTCTCATATTTGTATGTGTATTTTACTGAGTTTGAATAGTTAATTTTGAAAGGGGTTGTACTTTGTCTGCAACATGATAAATACACAGAATTACTTCAAAACAATTACAATTAATTAAACATCACCATTGAAGTGTAATATATAACTTTCCTCAAAAAGTGGAGAGCCAAGTGTATTCATGGAATCAACCTTCCCATTGGTCTACTCTGCCTCTGAATTCTAAGAAAAACGTTTTGCATGGGAAACTCGACTTCAGGAAACAAAACACCAGCTGGGTCAAGAAAACACTGGGCTATCTCCACACACACACACACACACACACACACACACACACACACACACACACACACACACACACACACACACACACACACACACACACACGTTGAGGGTAAATAAAATGTTTTATAGTTATTACAGGCACAGGAAGCGATTTCTTCCTCTGAAATATGAACAGGCTTTAGTAGATATACTTGTATCTATTGACCCTAATTCAAGTTCAAATACTTTTCTTGGCATCAGCCGTATCTCATACAGCTTAGATTTGAACTAAATGACATACAGTTGAGAACACGTATGGGAAAGGTGAACAGGCATCTATAATAATGTGATTACGCCTATTTGAGAGCATTTGGAATGGACTTTCCTGTCTGTGATGTTACACACTGTATTTGACAATGTGATCCCGAAGTGCAGAGGAGTAGGGATGATGTCAGTGTGCCGCAGCAGCCTCACCGACCGGTGACATAACACGAAGAGTAGTCTACATTTACATAAGCCATTTTTTCAGGTGATTAATACGCATATATTGACAAGATATATTGGCGTGTCAATTAAAGCCTGTGTTCTGGCTCGTTATTGTCTACTGTCTATTGTCTACTGGAATGCCATCCTTAAGCAAGCGGGACAGCTGCCCACTGCCGCCAGGCTCGGTGAGCTGCTGGCGGGCTCGGTGAGCGGAGCACACAGCATTCTCAGCTGCCATGATAACATCTTCATTTGACTTACCGACAGGTGACAAGAGAAGTTAGAAAAGCAGCCTTCTGGTGAAACAAGGCCGCGTTTCCTATCTTGTCGTCATTTCATTGTCACGTTGCTACCTATTTAAGCAAGTAATAATTGAAGGCAAATAGAAAAGCTGGTATTGTTTTTGGTTTATTTTCGCTCGACAGCCGCATCTATCTCCTGTGAGTCTTGCTCCGCCTGTGTTGGCAGTCCTTTACCGGCTCAAGCCGGTATTCAAACGGGGGCGCGCAACCTCCCCGGCTTCATGAACGCGCAGGGCGTTCCTCTTGGTGAGATATGAGAGACACGGGAAGTCCTTCTGCGGCGCGAGGATAGACTGTACATGTAAAGAGCGCGAGCAACATCAACAAATGCGGAACGGTTCTGATGCTGCGTTTAAGTGATGGTGAAAAAACATCAGGAATTAAGATTTAACTACCTCAACGACATATACTCAATCATAAATAGGACTGGAATTGTAAATATGGTCACAAGATAACATTTGATGGGGAAAGTTTGTATCGCACATTTAAATTGAAATGTATGTCGTTTTTTTGGACTCAAGAAATTCCTAGAATATGCGCCTTACAAATAACTAATCTACGGCGTTTGAATACAACTCCAAAGCAAACGCGTAATCAGGGCGCGCAGATGGGTTGAACCATGGGTTGAACGGGTTTGGTTTATTCCAGATGAGAGGTAGCATCCGGTCCACCGTTTGGTTTCTCTGTGTGTGTGTGTGTGCGCGTGCGCGCGCGTGTGTGTGTGTGTGTCGGGGTGACTTCCATTTAGACTAGGGTTGCGGTCGGATAATCCAAAAATCAGCTCCTATCGTCTATTCCTTGACCTCTGAGTGAAACGTCACGGGGTTAAGGGATAGTGGATAGGAGAATTCAAAAGGATTTAGGAGAAGAGACTGCGGTACTTTAGAGAATCCGACTGCACTTTCACTATCCGACGTGATGCGCCAGTGGACGTCATACATGTGTGTCTGCAACTGTGGGGAAACTAGAAACTACAGTTTTCTATACAGCGGACTACGACATGGATGTATAATAAGAACGAGGGACTACTGTAAACTCATCTAGAGACTCTGCACCGTACTCTGATGCTGTTGCTTTATGCTTTATGAACGTGGACGACACATATTCTTCATGACCAAAGATGGAATTGAAATAAAAAAGGAAAGTGAAACTTATGCTTGTCACCCTCTCCCTCCGGTCCACATTAATACAAATGATCCCAATACGTATGAAAAGTTCTTAAAATAAATACAAATGTATTTCTTATAAATGTTATTCCTTAACATCTATCACTGTGTATCACCATTCAAACATCTTTTAAAAGAACAAACCCCACACAGCTCAGTAAACACTCTGAAATGTTGACTTTATTTGATTATTTCATTAAAAACTAACGTTCATATTTCTATTTTTGATTATAATACTGATGAACGTTCAAAACAAAGCACTTTGGCAACTTACCACATACGTTTTAATAAGCACCGTAACTTTCATGATATAATTTCTAGGTCATAATCGGTTGTTTCCGTGAACGGCCGACTGTTGTGTGACTTGGGCCCATTTCCAAACCGCCCCCTACACCCTACCCCTAGACCCTTTTACAGACAACGTCATCAAAAAGTTGCGCGCGCATGTGGGCAACGAAAGTGGTGTTTTTTTCAAGCAGTTCTGAATGACAAAGACGAGGTAGCAACTGGTTAGCAAGCATTTACAAACTGTACCCAGCATCAACATGTCTGGTTGTTG